GTGCTTTGTTTTTGCATTTTATTGCTCGAAATGGAGTCGAAAGAGATGAGTTTTCAGTCTGCGCCGGAAGATGTGTAAGCTTTCTGCTGTCCTGATGTCAATGGGGGGAGCTCATTCCACCATTTTGGAGCCAGGATAGAAAACTGACGTGTTTTTGCTGAAGGCAACTTGGGTCCCCCTCGTATCACACGGCAAACTCAAAACATTTTAACTTAAAAAACTATTTCCATCACACATTGGATCACCAGGAATCTGTATCTCTCAGGGCTTGTAGCTTCTTGACAGATTAACATAAAAAATGTTGTTTTAAGAATTTCAACAACACAGACAGCTTGAAATAGCTTCTACAATCATCCACACACCCGACTTGCTCCGACTATTTTCCTTATGGGAGAACATCAGAATAGCATGTGATGTTTCATCTGAGTAAACACAATTAGTGGAACAGCTCGCAGATACCCATTTGTAGATGAGAGTGTTTCTCGTTCCCCACAGACTCATCTCCCAGACCAATCTCCAGATCCATACCGCCAACCTTTTCTCTCGCAAACACGGCTCCTCTCATTTCTGAGCCGCTGCGAAGCCTTTGAATCGTAAACACAGACTCGGTTTGAATCTGAACAAAGCGGTTTTCACCCCGAAAAATACGAACATTTGCTGTTCACTATAATACAGGTCTGATGTCGTCCAAAGAAGGCAACGTGCGTCTGAAAGCTGTTTGTGCTGAGGCAAAATTAAGATAATTTCTATAATTTAAACATATATGCGCAATTTAATCAAAAGCTCTTCAAAGGAGGAAATTACGAGTTGTTACGAAGTCGTCTTTGCCATTATCTGCAAATCCTTAAAACACTTTTAGAAGGAAAATTAAGTCCCACATTATTTGCATGCTATTTATGTGAGGGCGATTTAAGACCACCCTGTCTGGCATCCTTTGCAAAATATTAATTCAATGACGGCAGCACTGATCCAGGTTTTCTGTAACTTTCTGCAGTTCCCTTCAGTGTTTACTTCCTGTCTGTCTTTTTCTACTATTCCCGTTAGTGTTTACTTCCTGTCTGTCTTCTTCTGCTGTTCCCTTCAGTGTTTACTTCCTGTCTGTCTTCTTCTGCTGCTGTTCCCTTCAGTGTTTACTTCCCGTCTGTCTTCTTCTACTACTATTCCTGTTAGTGTTTACTTCCTGTTTTTCTTCTTCTGCTGATGTTAGTGTTTACTTCCTCTCTGTTTTCTTCTGCTGTTCCCTTTAGTGTTTACTTCCTGTCTGTCTTCTTCTTCTGCTGCTGTAAGTGTTTACTTCCTGTCTGTCTTCTTCTGCTGTTCCCTTTAGTGTTTACTTCCTGTATGTCTCCGTCTGCTGTTCCCTTTAGTGTTTACTTCCTGTCTGTCTAGTTCTGCTGCTCCCTTTAGTGTCTACGTTATGTCTGTCTTCTGCTGTTCCCTTTAGTGTTTACTTCCTGTCTGTGTTCTTCTGCTGTTCCCTTTAGTGTTTACTTCCTGTATGTGTTCTTCTGCTGTTCCCTTTAGTGTTTACTTCCTGTCTGCCTTCTTCTGCTGTTCCATAGTGTCTACTTCCTGTCTGTCTTCTTCTGCTGTTCCCTTTAGTGTTTACTTCTCGTCTTTCTTCTTCTGCTGTTCCCTTCAGTGTTTATTTGTTTATTTGTCTCTCTTTCTACAGATTGATATGACCTCACATAGTCCTATAACCACAATGTCCTTAGCACAGTCTGTTATCGAGAAGTAACAGACCGCTCGCTGAATGTTCATTCTGACCAATCAGAACTGAGATTCAACTAAGCTGTGTAATAAAAGCAAATGACTGCATTGTTTCAATTTTGGCACCATTCTTTGATCTTCCTATTTCATATATCCTTTATTTAACCAGGTAAAAGTCTCATTGAGATTAAAATCTCTTTTTCAAGAGCGACCTGGCCAAGAAGGGCAGCATGAACAAAGTTACAACAGATAAAACACAGACAATACAGACAGACGAGCAATCAAATTGAACAATGGATACTTGTTCTCTGTCCTTTAAGATGGACTTGAATGTCACCGTAGTGATCAAATCTGAGAGTTTCAGCTCCTTCTGTATATTATTCCAAGCAGAAGGGGCAGTATATTTAAAAGCTTTTTTTAAATGAAATCTTGGGAGCGCAGGCCATATATACTTTGTTTTTTACACATATATGTGCACTGCTCAATTACTCACACACCACTATACACAGCAACGTCTTACCAGAGATATTGGTGGTGATTTCGGTGAGCGCCGTCTGCCCGAACCCCTTGGCAGTTCGGGCTCGGACCGACACCAGGTAGGTGGTCCCAGGATGCAGACCGGAGAACATGTGGTAGGTCTCGTTCCTTAGCTTGGACACCGTACGGCGGGGACCTGGCACGTTGATACCCGGGTCTGAAGACTCAATACTCTGGTAGCTGATCTGGAAACACGGAAAAGATGAGACAGTATTACAGCAGCTCTGAGAAGTTATAGAATGATGCTCAATTCTAATGATTATCAAAATGCTAATTAGTTTAATGTGTATCATGATTATTATCAAAGTTTAGCAAGTAAGGATGCTAACCAATGTACAAGTGAAGCTGAGGCTGATGGAAATGAGAATAGTATTTTACGTATTTGATTAGAAAACATAGTATGAGACATATTCAGATCATGACCTGATGATGCCGCTAGATAAATATATTGGAAATAAACAACTCTGTACCTAATTGATGGACCGTGCCATGCCCAATTTCGTCAGATTTAAGGAACCAACATCCCATAGTTTGAGCCACGGATGAAAGAAGTATGATATTTAATTTGTTTTCTGCAGGCTTCGTGTTGGGCTACTTTAAAAAGCCAGTCTCTGAAATGTCTTTTGAGCCACAAGCCCTGCAAGGAGGCAGAGCTTAAAGAGCCTGTGACACGATTTTCCCCCATCATCCAAACCCATCAATTTGAGTAAATATTGTCCCCTTGAAAACCGTTACTGAACTGATTTTGGATATTTGTATTTTGATAACCATTAATCTGCCCTTCAATGTTGACCATTTCCTGGATCTTCTCGGGGATTCTTCAAGTCCCGCCAAATTATGGGTGACGTCAATGCGGGCACAGCGCTCCAGCTGCACCGTTCAGGATCCCAGCATCTGCATGTAAACGCACGATGGCGCACACAGCAGCAAGCTCAGACAGCGATGACAGTTTAATTTTGAACGTGTCTGAGAGCTCATATGAGGCTGAAGGATCGGTTTATTTTGTATCTGTTAGAAATTTAGGAATTAGGTGCGTCAATATGGGTGATCATACGGTCATGTAGCCAGTGGTGGACTGGGACTAAAAATCAGCCCGGGACTCTCGACCGGCCCACTTCGGTACCACTAGTAAATTGTCAACGGGGGGAGTGGGGGATGTGCTAGTGACTTATCCGACCGGCCCACNATGTCCCACCCCTTAACCTATCCCCCCAAACGTCTAAAAAAACAATTTGTTTGGAGAGCTATGCCAATTGGAAAGCGCAAGTATCATGTAATGATGTCACAATGTTTCAGGCAGGGGGGAGTGTGGGAAAGAAACTCCCTCTGGAAGTGAACTTGACATTTTAGCCTCTTGCAGACCATCTTACATGCACCAAACATCTGGATCTGTAATTAATAGCAACTAATCAAGCAATGTTAGCCTCAACCTCTTAACCCCCTTCTCCAGCGGGGAAAACACTGATTAAGCACAGTCTGTCGTGAGACAAAGAACTCCCATGGATCCCATGTTACACACAACACCTCCAAACTCTTTTTTTGTTTGATTGAGAGACCCCTCGTGGCAAGAAAATTCCACAATTGTGCCGTTTGAGAAAGATTGCATAAAAACAGAAGGAATGGAAGCAAGGAGACATCACTGGAGAAGGACATTTCTCGCCAGATTGTCCACACAGATGATTGAACTGCAAACATGTACAGTATGTGGGATAGAGATGACTCGACAGCACAATATATTGGAAAACGCCATTTGAGTATTTATTCCATATCCTTGATATCCAGACGGCAACTGCAAAAAAGCTCTGACATGTTAACTAGTTAACAAAAAAAAAAGAGCCAGAACTAGTTAACAAAAACAAAAAAAAAAAAAAAAAAAAAATAATGGCATACCATTTGTCTGCACTAAGTTAACTAGCAGCACCCAGAATCCCTCACTGGTTTAACTAGTAAAGGCAAAAGGTTTCACTTAGTTAAATAGTTGACGCCTCTTTGACCTTACTAGTTAATAGTGGGCTCAAAATGTATACAACGTTAACTAGTGGAACCCTTTGCCATTTGGCTAGTTAACTAAGTGAGAATGCATTGAATTCAAACCTAGTGAACTAAGTGACGCTTAAATGTCTCACTAGTAGTACTAGTGGTCCCAAATGTGCACTAGTCACACTAGTTGCACAGAATGGTAATTGAGGAGGAGGGGAAATAATGCATCGAGGTCCTCCTAATTGGCCCCTAAGCTATAGAGCGCAACCCAGCCTAAATAGTTTCTTTAAGAGCTTAAATACATCTGTGTTTTAAAATACAGTCATATGACCATATTTACTAAAATATAAAACAAAAGTATTTTTGTAATTATGATCATATGATTGTATATCAAGTTAGGTAAGAACATTGAAGACTTTAACATTTGAAAGTTGCCTTAGGATTGCAGACAGGAACAGGGACGTGCACAGACATTTGGAGGGGCTATTGCTCTAAACTGGAAAAAGGGCCTCCCCCCGAAAAAAAACTTAAGACCTTTTGAAAATTGTAACTTGTTTTTAATGTGAAAGAAACCAAAGGATTTTTACATCAACTAAATTGAACAGTAATTCACATCATAACAAAATAAGCTAAGGTGACTACTTGCATTCGGTGACTTGATTTTAAAAATGTTTTGCGGTCCATATCTCATTAAAATATCTAATGTTAGTAACTATTAAAGATAAAATGGGGACAATTCTGTTCTAATGTAGTTTGACCATTGTAACTGCTGTGCAGGACATACTGATAAAATAGGGCCTCTAACTAATTAGGCTACCTTAAATAAACTCACTAATTAATGAAACCAGTTCAATTCACATTATTCTTATTCTTATCATTCTTTATGAGCGCAGTGACGGTAAGGTATCTAATTACTTATTTATTTAGTATTCCATAACTTAATAACAGAGATGGTCAAACTAAAGTGGTAGAGACATGGCAGAAATCCTACAATGAAGCGGGACATTGAACTGTTCACCCGTGAGAGGGCAATCAAGAAAAGAGAGCGAGCGGCCCCGTTGAGGGAGGTTACAGATGAAAAGACACACAATAACAACAAGTAGGCTATATTTAGGTATCAAGAGGAAGTAAAGTCCCCTGGTTTGTCCCTTATACCCTAACTGCCATGAGACAACTCAAAATTAAGTTTCCAAAATCCGACACTGAGGTGGTCTTAATGCACCGGCAGATGACAGCGCTGACAAAGTGTGTTTCCCGCAGCGAGACGCTACAATACTAATTGTGGGCTCATCATGTTGATTCGGCCACAACAGAAAAAACAAAAACAAACTCTCGCTCTCTCTAGAGCGGCAGGTCAGCCAAAAATGCCAAACGGGCCGTTGCCCGGGCAACATTAGCCCGTACCTGTGCACGTCCCTGGTCAGATGTATGCAAATGACTCAAGGTGAACATTTTCTTTATCTACACACCTCAAGGCTTTTGCAAGACAAGGGAAGGTTTAAAGGGCGCTATTATGCTCACTTTTAAGTCCGTAATTATATTCAGTGTCTCTACTGTGACATGTCTCCATGGTTTAATGTGCAAAAAGCTCTTTATTTTTCTCATACTGCCTGTGCTGCAGCACCTCTTTTCACCCTCTGTCTGAAACCAGAGCCCAGTCTGCTCTGATTGGTTATGATGTATACCGCAGCTTATCTTATTTATTCGCATTGCAGTCGACATTGAGGTAATCCATACTTAATGGAAAGTAATCAGGTTTCTTTCAGATTTTGATAGTTACATTTTTTACCGGGAAACTAGTCATTGTAAGTGAATCTTTATGGTTTATTGCACTTTTCAAATTTTCTTTAGACGTAACCGTCAGCTAAATGCAATGTACTGTAATGTAAAGTAAAGTAAAGTAACCCTCCCAACCCTGTAGATAGTTTAGGAAAATCTTGAAGCATCCTCCTCAAAAAAAATACTGCCTGATACTTTTAAAGTGATAATTACCTCAGAAATCCTGATTTGCACATTCAGAACAGAAGTGTTTGAAGCTAATCTGGATTCAGAGTGAAGTGACATCACCTGTCAATTCCTCACCTCGTTCCTCACCTCTCTCTCACTTTTGAATGGAAACTAAGGCGCTTTTACAGTACTTTTCCCTTTTAGTTCCGATAGTTCCTCGGATTTTGCGTTCAAACCAAAACTGAGATCGTAGTTCATGAGACATGTTCCCCCCTTTTTAGTAGGGGTGGGCGGATCGATCCCAAAATATCGATACTTCCGATATTACGTTACGTTTCAAAATATCGATACTAGAGCCAATAGGATCGATACTTTTATACTTTTTTTTTCCCGTCTCCTCTACTCGTCAATTTCTTAAAAAAACTATGCGCAGACGAACACAAGTATATGCTCTTTTCTTCTCTCTCCACTTCTGTCCTCCTCTCCTCGAGGCTCGCGCACGCGCAGCGCGCTCCCTGCCTGAATTCCGATTATCAAGCTGACAGCAGCAGCCAGCGACTCGCGAGTGCAACACACACACGTGCATGATGGCTGAGAGAAAGAGCAGCGTTGTGTGGAGCAATTTCACAACTGGCAAAACTTAGCGAACTGTGATGTGTGCAAGAAGACAGTTCGCTACTCTGGCCACTTTGTATTGTTATTTTTCATGTTTGCACTTTAAATTTGCAAAAGTAAAACGTTTATTTGTCTATCAAATCTGTCCTGTCTTTATTCATGAAAATGAATTCAGATTTAGTCTATTTATGATGCTTTCAGCTCAAAAATCATGCCATGCAGCTCTCCCATATGAAAGTACATAAGACGCTTTTCATTTAAAAAAGTATCGGTATTGATATCGGTATTGATATCGGTATCGGCGATACTGGCCCTGAAATACTTGGTATCGGATCGAATCCAGAGGTTGTGGTATCGCCCACCCCTACTTTTTAGTGCCTGCTAGAGAGCAGGTACTTTCCTGTAGAGAAAAAAGTTCCAATTTCTGATTGGCTGGGCAAATTGCATACCACGCCCCGTAAAACTCGGAAAGGTTTTGTGAATCCGCCATTGTATTTGCTGGCATTAGCATTATTAGCATTAGCCCCGCGTACCAACGGAGAGAGACTAACTTATGGCAACACAAAATAAAACATGGGAGCGGTGGAGATGAGGAGGTGTCGGCGTTCTGGCGATTTACTCGGACGGCTTCTACTGAAGCAGTATACGCCGTGAAGTTGTTTGCGGCCTGCCATTAAACCCAAAGCAGAAGAAGAAGAAGTGACGTCAGCGGCTCATTTGCGTAATCTTCCCTCATGGACTTATTCCGGTGTGAACGCGATCTGCTCTTTAGTTCCATCATGGGGGAACTAAGTGCTGGGAACTAAGTACGGCAAAGTGCTTGGTGTGAAAGTGGCTCTAGTGTCTCTAAAGCCATGGCGGTCTACCTCACATGTAAGCACAGAAAAAGCTGCAAAGCCCTCACTACAGCACAAAGGTCTACGGTTGATATTGGGGCCATCAATAATGAATTAGAAACAATTAAAGGTGCCCCCTTGTGGAGGCTTCTCGTAGGCAAATAAGTAATTAGAGCGGTTGTCCCCCATGTAATTACAGCCTGGAGTCTGAGCCCGGTTCATTACCATGTGAACGTGAACAGTAAATCCAGTGAACCGTGGAAAGTGGGTCCACTCCTCTCAAGTGGCTCGAGTTATGCTACCAGCGTTCGGGCGAGAACCAGAATAAAACAAGCCGTGGGGAAATCATAGAGTATTTTAAGTGAGCAGAGGAGAGTTTTCCTTACTTTGAGTCATTGTAGTGATTAAAAAATATATATAGACAGCGAAGAATAAAGTATGTGTACACCTGGAGAGGATTAGTGTGTGATGTGAAAGAGGCATTTGGATTTTTGTTGCATGACAAACAAGATTTTCTTTGGTAATGATAGTAAAAAATAGTTCATTTAAATTTGAGCTCGTGCAGTACTCATAGTTTTATTTGTACCATTCATTTATTCCATGACCGATTTACTATTCGTATTTCGTTTGTTTGATTTTTCTTCTACTATTATAGCTTTTATTATTCCTTTGGTTAAATAGTAAAATGAAAAATACTTGAATTTCTTCTATGTTATTCCTCTGGTTGAACAGTATTCATACCATCAAAAATCTATTTTTCCAAACTTGTTTATTCTTTACATTTTATTCCTTAAAGTGGACCTATCATGCTATATTTGAATAATATAGTATAGGACCATACCTATATAAGGCATATTTACACTTTTTATTTTTCAAAATACCAAACAGATCATGCATTTTAGCCATTCCTCATTTTGCTCAATTTAACACTGTCTTTGCATGGGCTGATTCTGTGAGAACAGCACCATCTACAGGCCTGGCATATGTACTACAGCGTCTCCAGCGCTTTCCAACGGCAATGTCCGTGGCTGTCTCCTCCTGATTGGTGGAGTTGGCCCAATAGCCGTAGCGCCACTTTTGTGACTTCATAGAAGTGTTCAAATCTGGATCAGTCTGTATCAGATCCGTTGCAGACCCTTTTTTAGAGATTTGGGTATGGAGGAAAATAGAGAGGGTTGGGTTTTCTGACACTTGGTGAGTTCCCTGGAACACCGGGGACACATATTCATGTATACAAGACGTACAAAAGTGCATTTTGCATGATAGGTCACCTTTAAATAGTTTTAAAAATGTTTTTTAAATTATCCGATTATTTTCACATAATACATATTTATTTAATTGTACTCCTTTGGTTAAATAGTTAAAAATGATTGTATGAAGTGTATATAATAAAATATAAATGTATGAAGTGACAACACTCATAACTTAAAATTCCTGCAATTAACTATAAAATAAAAAAATAATAAAATGCCCTACCTCGTACTGCGTGATGAGGCCGTTGGGCTCCACAGGCTCCTCCCACTTAAGGAAGATCATGTCATCGAGCGGTGTGAAGGTCAGCGACTCCGAAGCGATGCCTCCAGGAACTGAAAGAAAACACAAACCTCAGAAACAAACAATTTGTCCTCTGTCAATGGACTCTCACGGGGGCATACCGGGGGGGTTTCAACACCTTTGACAGAGCGAAAAGGCACCAGGCCGAGGAGGAGGAGGAAGGTGGTGAAAGGAAACGGTGCTCTAACCCTCGGGATGAATTGAGATTCTGGCTCCTCCAGTCTGATAACAGAGCACCGCGTCCTGCAGCATGACACTCCATTTTTCTTCTTTAGCACCTTACTGACAGGAAAACAGCGCAGTGATCCAACCCGTGAACCGGCTCAGCAGCTCTCTGCATTTTTTTTATCTTAATGAGATGCATCTCCTTAAAGAACCTCTTTTTTTTTTGGTGCCAAGTTGCTGCAGAGTTGACTATAAAACTCTGAGGATAAATGATGGTTCCTCAGAGGGTTGTTGGCTCCGAGGGCCCAGCGGTAACACTTAGTGATAATAGTCTTCCAGCATTAACACGACAGAAAATATAAATTAAGCCCAAGCTGAGAGAGCTGTCTGTGGTAAAACGTCTGATTTATGCATGCGTGGAAAAATTATTATTATTTCAAAAATAAACCCAGGCACACAGGTGTCTTTGAATGAGTCATAAATAATGTGAAAAGATATTCAGGAAGATATAGAAATTAAAGATAAGAAAAACATGCTGAATAAAGGGAGAGTGCCTCATATAATTAGCAAAACTACCCTTTAACAATATGACTTTTTGGTTAAAGGGGCATACTTGCCAACCTTTAGACCTCAGAAATCGGGACCAATGCAAAGTTGGGGGGAGGGGGGGGTGCTAGTGGATCGCCGGAGCTGTTAGATTAACATTAACATGCTTATTGTAGTTGTAAGTGCACTGCCTTGCGGCCTGTAGCACCGTCCTTGATGGAGCATATGTGTGGGCTGGACCTGTATTTTACAGGAAAGGAGTGAGTAGTTGTCGATTCTTGTTCTGTTTTCTGTGAATATCTGCCTCACCCGCTCAGACTTTGAGTTGCGCGCGCTACTAAAGAGACGTGTTACCATGGAAACCAAACAATGGCGTAGCTGTATTAAAGTCCGAGTGGAAACAGTCGTGTGTAAATCTGATTTTGTCAGAAATCGGGAGAAATATGACCCCGGGAGGAAACCGGGAGAAGGCAATGAAATCGGGAGTCTCCCGCGAAAATCGGGAGGGTTGACAAGTAGGGCCTGATTATTAAGTCACAAAGGAATACTATTTTAACATTGTTAGGGGCTTTACAACTACATTTTAGGGCTGCCATTGTTGTTCTTAATAAGTGTTGAATATTCCCGGCAAACAAACTGGATATAACTGACTTTTTGGATCATAATTCTAAAGCTCACGTCCGTCTCTCTTACAAAAATATTCAGCTAACGTGCAGATGTGTTTACAACATGTGTGATTTAAACAATTTAGATTTAGTCTGATGCCCTGCCAGACTTTAGCAGCATTCCCAGATTTAAAAAAACAAACAGGAAAGCAAAATGTCATCATCAAAAACACTGTAAATCTTTTGTTGTGAATTGTGCCTTTGCTGTTGTTTATTATGGATTTTACTCTATTGACATATTTGTGCGCTAGATTTTGAAAATACACAACCGGAAAAACCGCTTGACGTCATGCGGTTCCCGGTACAAACAAATGGAAAGTGAGAAATCTCCAACGAGGCGTTCTGGGGCAGCATAGACAGGTCTTTTCTTACTCGCTACAGGGTGTACTTTGAGGGTTTGTGACTCTGCAGACCATTAACATGCAGAAAAAGCTACATAACACACAAGGGGACGGGTAATAACCAGAAAAGCATGACATGGGACCTTTAAAGCAAATCAATTTTGAAGCTACAATACAAATATTTCTTTTGTCATCCACTGGGTCGAGATCTCCCTCAATTACATGGAAAAGTCTTGTTATTCGCCAGAACAAAAAGTATTTGACCTTCTGTGCTTCCACTCTCTGGGCATTTGCATTAAAATGTGCCTATCTGCTGGTGTACAAGGGGAAATATTAATACAAAGATAAGCAAATTAATTTCACCATTTTGCTGCCGGCCGCAGCCCGTGCTGATTAATTTTCCTCTGCTCTCCATTTAAAAGGCCGATCTTCTGTTTAGCTGATCCAGCTTCTTTTGCAAGTCAATATGTGTTTATGTTATGCTGCTACTGGATGACTAAAGGCATGGATTTGTGTTAAGCAGTGCACAATAATTATGTGAGCAAGCAATGAATACGAGAAATTCAAGGAGTTGACAATAGAGAGCTTCAGTGCATACATAAAAGAATCATCATGCAAAAAAATACTGTGAACCTTGCACAATCTCTTATCTATATTTTCCCACTACTGTTCTCTTTTCGACTTAAAATTCGGATTTAATGCCCATATTTTATTTTTCACAGTAACAGGTCTTACTACTTTACCTACTTTCTGGGGATTTTTTATACTGTATGTGTTAATGTTATAATAGTTTAAAAAATATCTGTTATAATAATTCTTTACTTGTTCCTCTTTGGTGACCTAATTCATCACGTTGTGTTTATATATGGAAATTCTTTGTGTGAATTTACTTAGCAATAACCCTGATATTGCCTCGTATTCTCCACATTAAGGTTGCACAAAATAAATAGATATTTTATTCATTCGTTTTATATGAGTCATAATCAGCTTGCTGTCTGGATAAGTTTGATTATTAGCCTCATTAATGAAGACTGCACCACTCTATGTTGCACAGTTTAGCGCCATATCAAGAGGTGGGAAGTAGTGGAGTACAAATACTTAGTTACTGTACTTAAGTACATTTTTCTGGTAGCAGTACTTTACTCCACGACTTATTTTTCTGATGACTTTTTACTTTTACTTCTTACATGTTGAACACAAATACCTGTACTTTCTACTTCTTACATGTTGAACTCAAATACCTGTACTTTCTACTTCTCACATTTTGAACCCAAATACCTGTACTTTCTACTTCTTACATGTTGAACACAAATACCTGTACTTTCTACTTCTTACATGTTGAACACAAATACCTGTACTTTCTACTTCTTACATGTTGAACACAAATACCTGTACTTTCTACTTCTTACATGTTGAACCCAAATACCTGTACTTTCTACTTCTCACATTTTCCAAACAGGCTGGCTCCTTTAGTTTGAATGTGTGTTTGGTGGCGTGATCATTATTATTTAGAGTCATTGCGTGCCTATTGATTTGAACACGATCCGCGTATCCATCATTTCCTGGTCTTCTCTAAAGAAGAGGGACCAATGGAAATGTTGTCATGTTGCCGTTGTTCAGCATGGAAACATTCATTAGCTAACAATGACATTATTGTTCTATTAATATAAAGGGAGGTCAGGTACTCTTTAAAACAGCTGCAAGTTATGGGTACTTTTTACTTAAGTTCATTTCCACATTTCAAACTTCCACCAAGTTTAGTCAGTACTTCTACTTTTCCCAGAGTATTTTTAAACACGAGTATCTGTACTTCTACTTGAGTAAAGGATGTGTGTACTTTTGCCCTCTCTGGCCGTATCTTTTCACAATAAAAACCTCCACTCACTGTCCTCCTCCGTCTGGAAGGTGACCTCCCGGCTCTCCCTCTTGCCCTCGGGGTTGGCGAGGGCCAGGCGGATGTGGACGGAGCGGAAAGGCGGCAGGTCTCTGAGGGTGAAGCGGGACGTGTTGCGCTCCACGGACAGGCACTCTCTGACGGTGGCGTTGTTGCCCCCGCCGCCCCCCCCGGTGGGCATGGAGTAGCGGTAGCACAGCGACAGGGTGTAGGTGTGGCAGCGCGTCAGGTTATATCCCAGAGGCTCCCACTGCAGGGCCAGCTGCCTCGGCTGGATCTCTGCAGCCGTCAGACCCCGCAAGGCACGCATCGGCTCTGAGGGGGGACAGGAAGCAGAAACATATCAATAAACTGCAAACAGTGAGGTCATACTAACCGATATTATACAGTACGTAAATATATACAGTATGTATTAGTTTTTGTTTATTTTTTGTATTTTAGTTTTACATTATGTACAATGCCTCATTTACTTGCTATTTTAGCAGAACAATTTAACAATATAGGATCAATAAGTTTATGTAATCTAATCTATATTTTAACTTTTGGGGTTTTCTTAAGTATATTTGCAGGTCAAAAATGCAGATTTTTCCAACAACAACCAATATATCGTCTAATGCAGGGGTGTCAAACTCAACTTCTTTGCGGGCCACATTAGCATTATGGTTGCACTCAAAGAGCCGGTTGTAACTTTAAAACTATATAAATATACATATATAAATATATAAGAAATACAACATAATGTATTATATTACATTATTGGCTCTGCATTGGATTATTATCAGTTCTCGTAATAACTCCATAAATAACTACGTCTGAAAGCAGAAGTCTAGGGCACATAATTGAAAGCAAATATTCAACAATTACACCAATTGTATTGTATATTACATTACTTGCAAGCTCTTGTGAGCCACATAAAATGAGGTTTCGCGCATGTATTCCTATTTTATCTGTTACATTAAATTTCAACGTTTCATTAATTCTCTACAATGTGAAGCGAATTTAAGAAATATTCTAAGAAATATTGAACAAATTAGGCTTTTTAAAGGTTTTTCTTGTTACAAAAACGTAATACTGTATGTTCCATGTGTTGATAAAGACTGTGAGAAACAAGAAAAGCTAGGAGGACATCGATTTGAGATTATAATGTAGCATAAACTATCCCAAGGTCAAGAATAAACTTCAAAACCCACATCATTATTTACAGTCTATGAGTAACATTATGAAACAAGATAATCTTTTTTATAGCAGCATTAACCTGCCACTTGGGGACAGAGGAACACGCTGTAAAAGCATTTGTCATGTTATAAACATTTTATGGGGAACGTATTAGCAAGCAGCTGCGTTCATTAGCGTTAGCATTCATTGGGATACGTGAGGTATCTCCCAAGAGGACGTGACTGGAGATGTTTGGGCACTTTTCTGCCACTGTATGTGACATATAAGACAATACATGATGAAACTATCAGACATTGAACACAAATAAATGTGTTGTTTAACCAGTTGAGCTCCGAGCCTGTTTTTCAGGTCTCAAAAATGACATTCCCAGAACAAATGACCATATCTTCCCTTCTAAAAGGGGTAAATTAATAATCTTTCTTCTCAAAGCAATGATAAATCGGTGAGTTGGATGTAGAAATGTCAGAATCAATATAGATGTTTTTATTTTAAAGTAAATTCAGATTGAACATAGTAAAAAAAAATGTAAATTATAGTGTCCGTCCAAAAAAAAAACATTACTTATAGTGAAAACCACCCTTGAATGATGGGATAGTAGACTAAAAGCTTTAGGAATCCAAACTATAACATATAATAAGTACCCTGTATCAATATTGATGCAAAACAAGTGACATTTGACCTTTTTAGAGAGATTTAGCACAAAAAAAACACTTCTGGGGTCATTTAGGTGCATTTTCGATATCTATGGCCCCCCTCGGTCGATTTTGATGATTGACATCTCTTTTGAACCGTTAGAGCCAATAGAATCGAAGGGAAAGTTCCTAAAATCCATCTAAACATTACCCATTGGTGAATGAGTGCTGCGTAGCCAGAATGACCCGGATCCGGAAGCTGTCATCATACACTCTGGTATCATAGCAGCTAATATGAAAGTGTCTACCGTTTCATGTTTTGTAGTAGCTTTTGCATTTGATGTAGAGTAGAAGAAATTATATTAAAATATTACCTACATATTTATTAAATAAAAGGTAAGAATAGCAAGTAAAAAAAACCTGAAAAGCCAAATATCTTTTCCTGGAGATTTTCTAATAAGATGCAAATGTAATCTTAAGTATCTACTATGCACTAGTAGTCAAATGTACTTACACAAACTGAAATGTGACTGATGATTCCCTTTAGTAACAAACACTTACAAACTTTAAGTAGATCTTGCTTGAAACATCGGTTGTTACATTTACTTAGAATTTCTGCGTGGAAATTGTTACCTAGGTTTTTCTAAGTAAATGTTTTTTCAGTGTATAATAAGTTTGTTTTTAAGTTCAAGGGGATGAGACGCTGGTTCTGTTTGTGTTGTCGATGTTTTTTTTTAACCCAAAACTATCACCCAGTGCACTTTCAAAGAGAAAAATACTGATGGGAAATGCAGACAGCAACAGTTGCAGCTTCCTCTACAAACAGAGACCAGGAGGTTATAGAGGGGTGAATCTATGAACAAATAAAAGGGCCTTAGAGAACAGCACAAACATTTCTACTTCCCCATCTGAGTGTGGAAGAGCAGTGCACAGCCTTGGCAGAGACTCAAGCCTAATTACTGCTGTCATGTGTGAGAGCTGTGATTTCGGATGTCCCTGTCATGCAAAATGGACAAGAACACTGGGGGTTATTTCTGTCCTGCAGCCAGCCCTGGATGTTCAAGTGCATCGCTGAGACGTCAAATACACCGAGAGGAGGGTGAAGCTTTCGGCGTTTGGACGGGAAGAGCATGAGCTGCCGGAGTGGCTGCTTCACTTAACATAGATCAGAAGCTGCTGTGTAAATTAATTAAGCAAAGTCACGGAGGGGACATGAGCTCTGAGGGGACGAGACGAGAAGGCAATGTCCTTTAGAGTCCTTGCTAATCTGGAGATGTTTGCTCTGTCCCGAAAAGGATGAAACACTTTGGCTTGTTTTATGTTTGACATCTAATACTGATATACTTCCTATTTATTTGTTTACCAATCGTTTAAAAACCTTATATTTGACATTTAGGCAGTGGCCATCTTTGTTTCTTAGAACCAGAAGTTACAAAAGCCAGTAGTAGCCAAATGGTAAAAAAGACATGTAGGGGCTTTAAATGATAATGAATTATTTACTTTCATAAACTGAAAACAGACTGTGATATGGTTAAAGTTGTAAGGCATTAAAAGCATGGTAGCAACATTAAATCAGAAAGCAACAACGCCCCGAAGCATACCCTCCTTTATAATCAGTTTTACTCTTATTGGGACCATCATATATACTGAATTGAGACCCTAAGCTTATCAGACAAAGGTTTACTGAAGCAAAAGATCAACTGAGAAGTAGACTTCGATGGACTTCATTTTGAAACCAGAAATGATGCCTTCTGCCGTTTCTTTGAAATAAAGCACTTCATAGATTATGGCTAAAAGCTGCTTGTGTAATATAATGAATCAGTGATACAGTCAATACACTTGAAGCCAAGCAATTGAGCCAATCAACCCATCAGGAATATGCTTACTGAGGTAAGAAATCAAGTGAGACGTAGTAGGGTCATTTTCTTCTATACAGTATAAATGGTCTGTTAGGCGTGTAGAAGAGTACTCCTCCTGCTAGCCATTTGAAAACAAAGCACTTCTTCAGATATGTTGTTCACTGACCTAAAAATAGGGTGAGAAGTAGGGACATTTTCTCATAGACTTCTATAGAATCTGAATTATTTTCAGAGTCTCCTACTGCTTGCGTTTACAAATCATACACATGTAATGCAATCCATTTCTAACGGCCCGTCTACACTACAGGCATCAAAAAATCTTGAAGCTGGGCGTGTCTGAAGCTTGGCGATTTTTTGCGAGCAACGCGACCATCAACCAATCACATGAATCTCCCGCCCCCGACATACAAAGCAATAGCAATGTTAAAACGAAGTAAACTGGATATAAACTCTCCAAACAGGCGAAAAACCTACCAGTTTCACCCACTGTCTCTGCCACCTCCCTCCATGCCTGGTTCCTCCCGTTTGTATCCCGGTAAATAGTTCTGGTCGTAAAGAACCGGGTGATTTGCTACCGTAATATCTCGTTTGGAATATGAGGAAATGAACTGCGGTCTGGCTCTCCCAGCTTGCACGCGGTTTGATTGGCTAGCGCTTGCACTGGCGGGATTTGCATAAACGGGATTTGATTGGCTGATGCCAAGCATCGAGCCTCAAAAGTTGAACATTGTTCAACTTTTGATGCCGATAGATGCTCGTGATGCTTGCAAAGCCATGACATGCTCCCCACAATGCAGTTCGGCGAAGATTAAAAATCTTCTACGGCACCCCATTCAAGTGAATGGGCGAAGCGTTGAAAGAATTTTTCGATGCCTGTAGTGTAGACGGGCCGTAAGACCTCAGCCAAAACCTTCCTGTGGAAAAGTATCAATCACTCATGAAATTGTAAGGATGAAACACTTCGGCTGATTTGTGTTTGACATGTAATACTGAAAACTATAAATATTGACTGTGTAGTTGAAGTTAACTTAGTAATGTGTATTTTTATACCATGGTTTTATAACCTTAAGTTTGACATTTAGGCAGTGGCCATCTTTGTTTCTTAGAGCCAGAAGTTACAAAAGAGGGTGACGTAGCCAAATGGTAGACGTGTAGGGAAGAAGGGATATTTTCTCATAGAATCTTGGTTATTTTCAGAGTCCCACTGCTTGCCTTTACAACTCATACCAATGTAATGCAATCGTTTTCTAAGACCCCAGCCAAAACCTTCTCGTGGAAAAGTATCAATCAATCTTGAAATTGTATCATGCCCGTCGTGTCATATGTGCATGAGAACATCCAATTTTTTAAACAATTCCAGCTCTGCATGGCAGTCTAATCCCAGTGTAACCAGGCCTCTCTGCTGAGGACACCATTACTCATCATTACGGCTGACTCTGTCCTTCCTCCTCCACCCGCCAGTCCTCCACCGGTCCCATACCCCAAACTGACATTCAGCTTGATTAGACTAATCAGACGGATTAGCCAGAGGCAACAGGGAGACCGGGACGAGAGATGATGGGAATAAGAGAGGAAGATGAATGAGTGAGAGTCCCTTTGGGTGAGCACATTTCATCTCAGGCTGCTTGTCTTTAGCAGCTGCCTCAGTGAGCTGCGGTCCCTCCTGCCGCGAGCTGTGTTGGGATGATGATGGACTATCAGTGCACACCCTGGTACTTACTATTGAAACCACTCGGGGTTTGGAACCGACTGACATGCATACTTTCCAATGAGTTTTCCTGCAGGTATCAATTTCTTGGAATTTAACCTCTAAATCATGTCGATGTTCCAGTAGCTTCGTGACAGTTTAATCTACCAAACAAATGATCCTGTAATGGTTTTCAAACAGCTCCAGAGATTGGCCTAGCAGAAAAGGGATTCAACTTTCAATATTTTTTGAAGTGCTTATTGCTATATTTGTCTATCGTAGGGCTGTTTACATGTCAACAACAAGAAGCGCTGAATATTTAACCTGCAGGAGAGATAATACTTTAGGAAGTAAGGAGTCAAGTGAGAAGAAATGCACTTGTAAACAGTGCCATTTAATAGCTTGAACTGACCCTTTGGAGAGCACCATACAGTGAAGTGTAAGAAAAACGTTTTTAGAAAGTACCTGTCCATGGACAAGTGAGCTTGGCAATTTACTTGTCCGAATAAATGTTTCACTTGTCCTTAATCCACTATTTTCTTACAGAATTTATTTCAATTTATTTCCTTATTAACTGAACACACCATTTCACCATCGACATTTGAAATTGTTTTTAAATAAAAAGCCCTAACAAAACAGCAGGGCTCTATTTCAGTATAAAATAAAGAAAAAAAGACAGCAACAGCTGACATCAAATCTTTGCCTGTGTCTGTGTGTCTGTGAGTTGTTTGGACTCGTATCCAAGGTGTCGCAGTTCGTACAATGTTCATATTTAGTCTCCTTATTTTAAATGGGAATTAAATCATTTGAGTGTTCCCAAAGCACCAGTGTTCTGCAGTTTGTGTGGGCATACTGTACTGTTGCACAGTTTTGGAAGATTCATAGCTAACCACACTGAAGATCAAACATCACCAGAAGTTATAATTTAAGGGGTCATTTCTCAAAAATGTCTTCCGGGGGAGGATCCCCCCGGACCGCCCTAGTATGGTTTGGTCCCTATTTCCATAGCCCCACCAAAAATATTTTCCACCAGCCGCCACTGTAGCCTATATATGTACTTGTCCGATATTGTAAATAGCACGTCCCGGACGATCGGACGTGTGCTTTTTCGCACACTGCATTGTCCTTGAAGGAGTTCACGGCATTGGACTTGGTTGCAAAAATTAAAAGTGACAATACTAACTAGGCCTTGAGAAAAATCAGGTTAAAGAAAAATACACTGACACATTCAAATTAAGGCCATTGGAAAGATGAGAAATGTATTGTGAGAACTTCAACACCCTTGGTTTCAAAACATTTAAATATACATTCATTTTCTCATAGACTTCTATACAATCTGAGGTAATAAATAAAGAGAGAAGTATTTATTATATGATATGAAGTTAAGCTATGTATGCCCATATGGCATATTATAAGGTGAAAGATCGACAATTAAAATGTCAAATGTAACCAGGTTATTAAAACCAAGTGATATGACTAATGAAGGGCAACAGGAAGTCAAAGAACTTGTTTAGGTCAGAAAGTGAAAGATTTCTAAGTGCCCCAACACCCAAAAAGCCTAAACACCGGGGGGGGGTGGGGGGGGGTAAGGATGCACATCATTCGTTTAGTGTGTGAACCTTTTTGTGGCCGGACCCCCGCGACGATGACCCATGGGATTGCAATCCTCTGCACCAGTAATTCTGAAATGTCACACTCAAAGAGCGTCCAAAAGGAAGAGTCATTGTGCTAAGAGACACGGCTCCGTGTGACACATGAGGAAGACAAATCCATCCAGAGGTTTGTGTCACGCCGCCTCGGGGGGGAAGCTTCAGGTTTGTGAGCGATGGGATTGGACAGGAGGTGGGCGACAGGAAGAGGAGAGTAGAGAGGGTGTCCGGTGACAGGCCGTCATGCCGTCGACCTGTCAGAGCAGCAGGGGGTCTTTTCACCCCGATGAGCAGCATGAGAGGTGGTGAGAGGCTTATGTTGTCCGCCGGCACGACACACAAACCTCAAAATTACCAAATTACTTCTAAATACTGGTAATATGCACATTAATGATGTGACCGTCTATGTTTCATGTTTCCTGTAGATATTTAATTGCTCTTCTTACGGCACTTTCAGTGTACAGTGTTACTATTATGCTGCTGTGTTTATTGTATTTCTGTAACTCTGGCACATCAATTTCCTTAGGGATGAATAAAGTCTTATCTTATCTTATCTTCTGCAGCCCATTTGTTATAACTTAAAAAATAGATCAATACATACTCTCATGTATTACATGGTAGATTAAATGAAAGATTTATCGACAAAAAACATAACTATTTTGGGGCAAACATATAAAAGTTGGATCCATTTGTTTGGTGATTAGAGAACATAACTGTTGAGTTGAAGGAGAATATATTTTTGTTTCTTAAGGAGGGGTTGTACGTACGTAAGATGCACTTGTTTTTCTCACAATAACATGTTTCTTCCACAGCGACATCATAAGGAAGCCCATTCGAGGTTGTGATGATCATTTTTTGACTAAAACTCAGGTAACGTAAAGTTTAAAAACCTCAGGAGACAAAAAGGAAGTGTGAAACTGACATAAAACATTTGGGTTTTTGTTGGGAAATGCAGATTTATGAACAAATGAATCAAATAAATCAGAAAAACTGTATCTAATAAATGTGTATCTTTTCAGCTGATATTTCATTACTGCAGGTCATGGTGGATCAAATATGATTCTTCACAAATGATCTGTTGTTTTTCACTCCCCGTCTTGCATACTTTAACATTAATATGTGTTTTGATTCGGGGTAAGTTAGTCTGGGACAAATAAAAAGCATCGGGGCTTCTTCCTCGCTGCAGAAACAACAAACACACCTTTAGTTCTGCGTGGCTGCAGGCAGACTACAGGTTGTTAAGTGATGCGTCAAAACGGTTTTATGAGGCTTCCAGCTGCAGCTCACGGCTCTCAGAGTGAATCTCGGAGCATAAGAGCAGGAAGACACTCTGGGAAAGAAAATACACTGCTTTCTATATCTGTGAACTGCAGGAGCAACCAGATGGGGTTCTTTTGTTGTTTTGTACTGATGCTTCAAGGGTTTGCAGCATGCTGTACAACGCTGCTGTCATAGCAACTCATAGAAAGTCACGGGTCCAATTACCCTTTCTATTTAGGGCTAAAAACTTAATCTGAGCTCTGTCTCATAAGGATGATAAGTGTATAAGAAGCACTTCCATTACTTTTTCTACTTTTAATGCATTTTTAACCATTAGCTTTCCTTTTATTGTCGCCACGTCCAAGCTAGGAATAGCATATTGTGTTGCTCTAAGGAAAATCAGGCTTATTAGAAGCAGTATCAAATTAAATATGAACGCTAGAAACATTTGGCCTTTACAAGACAAATAATGTACAGTCATGCTTCCTTTGGCAGCTGTGTGAAGCTGTACCTGCCAATGCTAAGCTTAGCGTACCTGCATTAAAGTTTAGTGTCTTAGCATGCTAATATTCAAGCTAATGTTGAACACAATTACGGCCCGTCAACACAGCGGCGTGCGTTGACGCTTCACCATTCACTTTGAATGGGGTGACGTCACTTTTCGCCGAACTGCATCGTGGGAAGCGACGCGGAGCTTTGCTGGCGTGGCTCGCTGCAAAAGTTGAGCAATGTTCAACTTTTGACGCCTCGGCAGAAGCGTCAGCCAATCGAATCATATGCCAGGTACAAGCTCTAGCCAATCAAACCTCTGCTTGTGTGTCAGGGGCGGGAGATTCATGTGATTGGTTGTTGGTAGAGTGTCAGACACGCCCGCCGGCAAGCGTCAACGCACGCCGCTGTGTGGACGGGCCGTTATTGAACAATAATAGTTTTAACCTTGTAATTGGATGTAGGGGTGTGTTGTCCGGTAGGGGTGGGAATCATACGATACTATCGCGATACTTAAGCCACGATATGATAGTATTACGATTCTACGATATGCTAAATATTGCGCATATATATTGATATATATTGATTGATATATGATTGCATGATATGTTGGGTTCCAGTGTCTTTAACATGTGACAAAAGCCTTCGTTTTCCACTACGCTGTATGGACGCAGGCCTTTGCAAATGAAGTAGGTGATGATTGAGTTATTTTCTTAGCTCGCTCAGAATTTGATGGTAGCTTTGACAAGCTAATTTGGATTTGCTATATGAATAGTCTATATAATAAAATATCGATACTTGCCGTCCGTGAATCGATACAATATCGCCACGCAAAGCATTGCGATACTATGCTGTATCGATTATTTCCCTCACCCCTAGTGTCCATTGCCTTGCTCAAGGGCAACACGGCAGGGCCCAGGAGGTGAACTGGGACCTCTCTAAGTACCAGTGCACACTCCCTATTTAGGTCTGTTTGGGGACTTGAACCCAGGCTCACAGTCCAAGCCCCTACTGACTGAGCCACTGCCAGACACATAAAGCGTGTGATAGGATAAATAATAGGATGTTCTTGCAACCTAAAAGAGTAAAAAAAGCGCCTCACCTGCACACTTGGTCCTGCTGGTGAGGGGGGGCCCTGGAGCTCCGGTGCCCCCCTCCCCGGGCCTCGTCAGCAGGACACTGATCCGGTACTCTGTGTCCGGCTCCAGGTGCCAGATCTTATAGGTCAGAGAGCCCACACCGTGAGTCTCCATCCAGGTGGACTGGCTGGCCCGGTACTGGATCTCCCTCCGGATAACGGGCCCGTCCCCCACGATGGAGTTGGTGTTCAGCTGGATGATCAGGTAGGTGGGGCCGGAGCGCAGGAGCTGGGGGGGGGCGATCGGTGTGGGGGGCACTGCAAGGACAAAAGTGTTGTCATTAGGTCGCTGGTACTTTCCTAAGAAGATCAGATCAAAGTGTTTCGTTTTTTTGCAAAACGACAAAACAAAGCACTTCTATCTGGCTTTGAATTAATGTGGTATTGGGGAGGTGGGGTCACTGCGGATGTATTTAATGTCGTAACAAAACGTGATCCGTCTCTTAAATTTGTTTGGCTCAACCACAGACCTTATTTCGAGCTATTTTCCAAAAAACATGTTAAAACTAGAGAATGCAATTCCTGAAAAAATTGCTAGTGGGAATGCTTTATGCTGAAAAGCTGACGCTAAACTGCTTTGCTGAAATGTAATGTGTAAGAAGAAAGTGAAAAATTTTGATTGAAATGACACATGAACACTGGGGGCTTGAATGTGTGATGAGAGAAGAAAATAAAGTAAAGAGGCTTGGAAAAGCAGGAGAATATTTGAAGTGCAAACTTTTGAACTAACTTGATGGTGAATGATCCGTCGCCATTGCAACGGCATATAATGACACCCCATGATACGCTAAGATGCGTTGATGGCTGCATCGTTACCAAACCTGTGAAGTTTTGGGGCGTTTCATGGCGGGCATTGCGTTGCCATGGCAACGGCATTTAAAGAAATCTCTAAACTGTCCCGTAGATGTCTTCACGGCTGGACTGTTAGCACACATGTGCAGTTTGAGCACTTTTTGAACATTTTCATAGGAGTTATAGCGACATCATGTTTTATGGCGAGGGATGCGTTTCCATGGAAACGGCATATGGTGAGATCTCAGATTTGGCGTAGAGCTGTTGAGGCATCGACCGGTGATATACAAGTGAAGATTGGGGGACGATTGGACCGTGTCGATGGGACATACAGCCACATCGTGTTTCATGGCGAGTGGTCCGTCGCCATGGCAACGGCATTTGATAACACCCCATACTACGCTTAGATGCGTTGATGGCTGCCTCGTTACCAAACCTGTGAAGTTCTAGGCTGTTTGGAGCATTTTCACTGAAGTTATGAGAAAACCGTGTTTCATGGCGGCATTGTGTTGCCATGGCAACGGCATGTTCCGTAGATGTCGTCACGGCTGGACTGTTAGCACACATGTAAAGTTTTAGCACTTTTTGACAATTTTCATAGGAGTTATAGCGACATCATGTTTTATGGCGAGGGATGCGTTTCCATGGAAACGGCATATGGTGAGATCTCAGATTTGGCGTAGAGCTGTTGAGGCATCGACCGGTGATATACAAGTGAAGATTGGGGGACGATTGGACCGTGTCGATGGGACATACAGCCACATCGTGTTTCATGGCGAGTGGTCCGTCGCCATGGCAACGGCATTTGATAACACCCCATACTACGCTTAGATGCGTTGATGGCTGCCTCGTTACCAAACCTGTGAAGTTCTAGGCTGTTTGGAGTATTTTCACTGAAGTTATGAGAAAACCGTGTTTCAGGGCGAGCATTGTGTTGTCATGGCATTTGAAGAAATCTCAAAACTGTCCAGTAGATGTCTTCACGGCTGGACTGTTGGCACACTGCTATCTGAAGTCTGCTGCTCTGAGCATGTCAGTTGGAGTGATGACATCATCGTGTTCCATTACACAGGTGTTTATAGTTGAGCTAACGAGCTCTGTAGAGATCAAAGGCTTCATTGTTCTGAATGAGAGATAAACCTCTTACATGTGAACGTTTTGTGGAAGAACCGTAACAGATATCTGTGAAATTTCAAAACGTGAAGCATGTCAAGGAAGTTNAGAGTCTAAACTTTTCAGCCACTTCAGCAGAAAAGCCCGCTGAGGTCTGGAGCGGCAAAGGAGAAAGTCAAGGATTTGCGTCATTGGGATTTTCTCTCTTTTCTTTTTCTTTTCCAGCTTTCAAGTGAACATTATTGTTCCGCTCTGTTTAGAGGGAGTTGAGTCGATAAAGACCTTTTCTTAAGTCACATTCAGGGACTCTGAGAGAGGGGCGGGCAGGTGTTTGAGGGGGGGAGACTTTGCAATGTTGCCCTAAATTTCTTAATTTTCCAGTCTAATGACGGCCGAATAAGCAGCCTTATTGCATGAATATCGCAAACTAATTCTGTCTTCTGCTGCACATAAAAATAGCAACCGCCTGAGGATTTAATATGACCCTTATCAACCCGGAGAAACATCAAATTCAAGCTTCCTCGCATAATGTGTAAATGGGGAGGAACGTGGTGGTGTGTGTGTGCTGTGCTGTGTGGTTGTGTTGCTGTGTGGTGGCTCGGTGTCGTGTGTGTGTGTTGTGTGTGTTGTGTGTTGTGTGTGTGTTGTGGTGTTTGGTGTGTGTGTGCTGACTGATGCATTACACATGATCTTAGTCTGCCACCAAAACAGCAGGCATTTGTATGACGTTTATTAATTAAGAAACTGAAACAAGAGACATTTGGTGCTTGAACGCCATTTTTAGTTAACTTTGGGAAGGAGCAAGCCTAGCTTAGGCATAATGGAGGAAAGGCCTACAAAAACCAAATTGTTAAGGGTTAAAATCAGTGCGCAGGTTTGTCTTCTGTTGGGTTCTTGGTTACAGACTTATAAACACGATTTTTCTTTTGTTCTATATTAAATAACAATATATAATTACTGTTACTTTAAAAATGCAGTCCTGTTTTATCTCACTGTAATTGCAAATGTAAAACTCTAATGCAGGCCACTTATATGTATTAACTTGAATCCAAAATGGCAAACAGCCATTAAATATGGATTATAAGAATGCCTCAAAATAGTGGTTTGCCGGTTTGAGCTTGTGACATTGGGAAGTCAGGAATATAGTGTCTGATTTAAACTTGCTCACTTACAAACAGCAAGGTCGTGCTTTATCCTTTTGGTAAACCTTGCCACAACCCTTTTCTCAAATTAGGTGACCATGTTTCACTGAATACATCTTACGCCTCTGACGATGAGTGTCTCCAAAGTTGGGACCGGGCGGGCGGCCCCGGGGGGGACAGGGCCTGATTGCCAGCGGGTAAAGAGTCCTGGCTCCCCTTCTCTGAGCCCTCCACTGCGAAAGCTGCGCCCATTAGGGGGCCTCTTGTGGCTCAGCCGAGACAGGGGAGCGACGTGTCCATCACCACGCTGCTTCCGTTCCGTGGGAACACACAGGAAGAAGAAATGAGCCCAGGGTGGAGTTGGAGGGGCTACTTTTAGTTTTTGTAGCTGCCCGACAAATGCGAAACAAGCACTTGCAGAAAGAGCTGAGTTCTTCACCAAACGCTGTGGTATGTTTTTTTTTTTTTAAGCTCGGCCGGGCTAAAAACACTAACTGTTAAATCAATCTGCCTTCACCCAGAGGCCTTCGACTTTTTATCACCTACCGTAGTTTACAATTGCTGTTTTTTAATTTTTATGGTGGTTTATATTCTTTTAGTGGCATGCGTTTTCATGAATCTGCTTTCCACTATGTGTATTTATTGTGTTTCCTTTCTGTTGTCTTCGTTGTTAAGCCTGTTAATGATGCATGTAAGAGCACTTTGAATTGCCTCTGTGCCTTATGAAAATGCTGCTTTATAAATAAACGTACCTTACCTTTTAGGAAATGTATTCTGTTCACAATTATTAGGAGGGTATAGGCAGGATCCTGAAGCTCACAATGTAATACCTTTTTAAGACCCCTTTCCATACATTTTAAAGACCTCAACGCCACTTGGAGTTTTAACCGGTTACCTTGGCCAACACACTTTACCCACGTTGGACTCATATACGAGTTATTGATATGTCTTCCTCCTTATCGTTCCAACCATTTGTACCACAGGACTTGCATTTTCCCCATAAACGATGTTTGTTTAGCAACCGGCGTGAACGGACCTTCTCGCGCTATCAAAGCAGGTAGTGTGAGATGTCCTGTTCAGATGACGTCAAATCCAACGGGATGCCAGAAATAAACTACACAGAATCACACTACGCACCTACGCAATGATTACATTCAGGCAGACTGTAGAATACAACCTCTTTGGACCATTGATATACTTATTGAAAACAAGCTACAAAATGTAACACCTTGGAAAAAACCGTTTAATACTTTTTAATAGCTTTAATTTTCGCTAAATTGATTTATCAACTTTTAATACTTTTAAAGACCCCGCGGACCCCCTGTATTAAAGATTCAAAGATTTTAGTGTCATATGCACAAAGCTACAGTGAAGAAATGGCAATGAAATTCTTCTGACCTGAGCTCCTCCAACAATGCAAAATATATAATAAAATACAAACTAAAATGTAGTGCAAAAAGTCTATATACATGTCAATAGAATATGGGATATGTACAAGAAGAGAATATGAAATTCAATAATGTAAATTAAGACAAAATTAAATACTTAAAATAAGTAGTCAGTGACCTAATCTGAGTCTCACAATATACAAGTAACCTGATTAACTTCTCTTAACTTACCACAATATAAAATGCTATGCTAATGAATACAAGCAAAAATCAATTTCCACCCAAGAAAGTGAAAACCGTTAAACAGATGCATTCAGTAGGCGTGTAGTTTACTGAAATGTCAAAAAGATAGCAAATGAAGTATTTAGGCCGCACAGGATCTCCCTTCTCCCTCCACAAGAAGCAATGGGATTTCTCCATTGGATTTTAGGTTATTGCAGGAAGTAATCTTGATCAAAATCTCTTCAGTTTGTGTTAACCACGGAGCTCATTTCAGGCTAACAACCAAAAACACATTCAGAAAAACTTTGACTTTGAGACGAGGGAACAGGAAGTGCTCAAACGATGACTCAATGTAGGGTTTTAGGAGTAATTTCTGAACTGCTCTTTTGTAAATAGATATTGAAGTGACTGTTATTTTGTATATATTGATTGTTGTGCTTGTGCTTGCATGTGTCTGTTGATTGTGTATATATAGGTATATACATATTTTTATGCATCTTTTTAAATATATTTGTATTTTTTGTATTCGGGATTGTGGGAAACGGTATTTCGATCTCTCTGTCTGTACACACAAACTGAAAGATTGACAATAAAGTTGACTTTGATTTTGACTTGACTACATTTTAGGGTTTTAGGACTCATTTCTGCTATTGTATACTTTACAAAATGGTGTTTTAGTTTAATAGATAACATTGTAATCATGCCACTGTATTAATTCAATTTTTCGAATGTGCCATTAACATGATTATACATCTTATTTTGATTTAACTCTAAGGGTGTTCAGCTCCTTTTTCAAATAATTACGTAATTCCGTTACATATATACACCCGCCTCTGGAAAAGAACAACCTCACACAAATTAGAAATGTGCGGTGGCTGAGAGGCAGACAGGAGGGAGGGTTGGAATTAGCTACATGGGAGGCCGAGATAATAAATGCGTGATAAATGTCAACGGTAACAATGGTGGTTTTGCCGCTGAGGCCGGTGACACATGCCTCGTGGGTCGCTGTATGCTCACAGGGGTCTCGCTCTGACAGCCCCTCATCTCGCTCGATGCTAATATGTTAGCGCTGCAGGCACACTGGCTCAAATCAGGAGACAACACATGCAACGAGCTGATCCAGGTGCCACAATATATGCAGCTCTGTGGCAGAATATGAGAAGATTATTACGTAAACTGTCGCCTGCTCCGGTATTTCAGAGGGAAGTGCGTTTGACATGTTTCATTTAGGAGGACAGGGGGGAAGAAATGTGAAATTAGATGTACAGTAGCTGTCGACTACTGCCTGCAGCTGCATATTATAACTCAACTTAACTTTTATATAAGTATAATATCTTCTTGTATAAAAGCACCAGAAGTTTTTTTAGTTTCAACAGTTTGAAGTGACTCCTCGGAGTAAAGTAAAGTTCAGACAACTTGTATTCTAGTGAAACCATTAAGTGCAATAATCACACTTATTCTAGCCTATATTTTACTGCAGTGAGAGGTGCCATAGACATTTCGTTGTATGATGACAATAAAGATATATTCTCTCTAAATTAAATGTATTTAAGTAGATTAATAAAATGTTTCTAGGACAGTAATAACATTTACTTGAGAGCATTATTTACATTTGATCTCTAGACCATTAATGACATCTTTTCCCCATAATGACCGCGTCGCTGCAAATGACCCCGCTTATTACATGGCTACATTCTCAAACAAAGTAACGATATGACTCCCAATGTGAATTAAAATACTTTTATAGATTTAGAAAATGTTTTTATTGATTTAAAAAATAGTATGCATTTATTTATTTAAAATGACATGCATCCGCTAAGAAAAATAGTCCGTGGTTACTGTCTGAACTAACGTAGCAACGGCAGGCTGCAGGAACTGCTTCGATAGCGTTTTTGAGGAGCTTTTTGATTACAGATTTGAAAACATCGTTGCTTGCTTTAAAAGTAGCACAATTCATTATGTCAAACCTTGGAAAGTATCTAGATATCCCTGCCCTAATGCCAAAGGAACTGGCAACTGAATATGTGTCGCCGTTTGATGTCTAGGCTATGTTTGGACCGTTGCGTAAAACGGAGGGTTTCAGCCCTGTTACTTCTCCGCTGTTTTTCTTGTCCCTCTTGTCTTGTCGGTTTGAATATAGTTAAATCGACCGGACTGCTCTCTGCAGATGTGAGCGTCCTTAACAACGGTCGATAAATCCTTGACAACATTGATCATGTTGTTGATAGTGCTACAGATGCGCTGCGAATAAAATTAGACTCTGTTGCTCCTTTGAAAAAGAAGAAAATAAAACAACATAGATTAGCTCCATGGCATAATGCCGAAACCCGCAAAATAAAGCAAAAGTCGAGACAACTTGAAAGGATATGGCGTTCCACTAAACTTGAAGAATCTCGTTTAATTTGGCATATTACTCTCAATGAATATAAGAAAGCACTGCGTAAAGCGAGAGCAGCATACTACTTTTCATTAATAGATGAGAATAAGAATAATGCAAGGTTTCTTTCCAGCACTGTAGCCAGGCTGACAGAGAGCCACAGCTCGATTGAGCCTTCTATTCCCATAGCACTCAGTAGTAATGATTTTATGTGCTTTTTTAACGATAAAATTGTTACTCTTAGAAACAAAATCAATGACCTCTTGCCTTTGACCAGTATAGTGTTATCAACAGCTCCCGGAAACGTAAGTTCTAATATTACACTAGATAGTAAACTAGAATGCTTTTCAGCCATAAACCTTGAACAATTAAATTCAATGATTCTCTCTTCTAAACCATCAACGTGTATCTTAGACCCGATTCCAACTAAGCTGTTAAAATAAGTTTTTCCATTAATTAGCACTTCTTTATTCGTTTTGATCCCGACGTTAGATTAGTCGGGATTGATATTCGAATAGTTTTTCCTTCCAGAATTCGCGTGAGAATTTTTTGCCTATACCACAGACGGCGGGCTTGTGTTTGACCTTCGACCTAAGTGTTTTCACCTCGGAACTATTCTTTCCGAGACCGAGGGTAACATGAAAATTCCTCTGAGATCCTTGTTGGTTGTTGGGACGTAAGAAACCTTGCGTTACGGGATCATCCTGTCATCCATTATTACTCATATAAATTCATTCTACCGCGGACGGTAATTCCCGAAACATCCTCTCTTCTTCTTAAAATTTAAGATAGGATCAGCAAGATATCCCTTCGGTCACATTCCGTTTGGTCTTGTCCTCATTTACAGCCCAGGAAAAAGATTGAGAACCAATCATTGCTCGACGTCGTAAAACTTAGTTGTACTTCGCTGTAACCTGAACTGAAGAAACTATGTGGGACTATTTTTTTCAAGGTTAATTAGGGTCGGAACTTCATTGTTACCGTACCTGATCAAAGAGACGTAAGCAAAACTCCGTTCTTACGACTAAAAACGTTACAATGCATCTACCTTCAATCCGCCAGGAACTTATAACTAAAATACACCCACAATTTCCTATTTAGGAACTAGTGATATTGTGGTTGCTAAGGAATGTCAAGAGTGACCTCCGGTTTAATTACGGTAGTATCAACTTCATATAGAAAATCTATTAAACAAAAGCTCTAAGAAGCCCGGTTCATGTATTGAAGTCAAGAACCAGCACAATTGGTATTTTTACAATTGCAGTAGGTGCAAAAATTCAGGAACTCCGTCAGAACTTAAAGTATAAATCTACTAAATTAAGAGGTAGTCCGAACTAACATTTATATCACCTCATAGTAGGCGTGATTGTTACTTTCGGAAAATGTCTTAGCTAAGGAATA